GCTAATGAGATAGCATTATACTGGCATATGGAATCTGATAAAACATTAGCTAATGGTCCAATTTCAGAACAAAAAAACTAACTTAACAATGGGATTATTGAAATATATGATACTAGAAGACACTTGTTTATACTTTAGAAAAATTCTGACTTGTTTGACCAAATATATAATATTTTAAATTTGATGCAGATGACAAAAAAAAGAAGAAAAATAGTGATCAAAGTATATACAATTAAGCATTTAAGAGAGGCTTTACAAGAAAAATATAATCTTTACATTATTTGATAAATACTTTCAACTTATTTTTTGCCTTGGCATGCTAATACACATAATGCATTTTGTTATCACTATTCTGCAAATATTAAAATTAGTGCAGTTTCTAGATCTGAAATGAAATCTTATATAGATGAACACTACTGTCTTGCATTAATCAAAATAGTTAAAGTGTTTGCTTTAACTTTTGCCAACTATAGCCTTATCATCTTACAATATGATAAAGCTAAAGTTAGTTTAGGTATATTAGCAGTTGTAGAACCTTTCAAAGCCTACAGTCTTTTAATAAACCTGTTATCATATCTGATCATAATTTCTCTTATAATATAAAACAAAAACTTATATCTTCAGTTTATTTGATTATTAATTCTGAGGATACTAATAAGTCATTGCGCCAGAGTTAACTATTTATATAAATTCATTCTGAATATTTTATAGAAACTTCTTCAATGTTACATATAAGAAATTTATTTGAAATTTCAAAATGTAATAAGTATACAGAAGTACTAAAATATAAAAAACATCTTAAATTTATATAGATTTTGTTAGTAGACAGTAGTCTTGATGAAAATCCAAAACATCTAAAAAATATAATTAAATATTATTGTTTGTTTTGTGAGCTTGACTTAGATTACTTATCAGTCTGAACCTATGCTCCTTATCAGTCATCATATACAAGTTACTCTTATTATAGTAAACTCTCGATATAGTGAAGATTGGCTTATAGTGAAAAATTTTTTTGAACCAAACCACTATTATTTAATTTTTGCTCTTTATAATAAAGATAATTAGTAAACTCCTGATATAAGATATATGAAGTTTTTTTTTAACCAGATATAATTAAATATTTCTCAATATAGTAAAGATTACATCACATGACTTTTTTAGCTAATTATATTAATGCTCATTATCACACCATTATAATGACGTATGTATGTATATACATATGTATATATAAAAACCTTACTCATTTTATAAAATTAACAAACAAATAAGCTAAATTCAGTAGTAGCCAGTGCTTTGTATACACTTTTTGAAGAAATTTAAGAGTACATATAATTAAAGCAGACAACAATTCAATTGCGCACAGTTCTCTTTATTTGCTATAACAGAGCAGATATCTGCACAATAAACTTTGAAAAATTAATATTAGTAGCAACTCATTTAAGTTTTTACAGTATGAATGAAATAGTCTCTATTAAGTTCATATGATCATATTACAGGTTTTTAAAATTTTCTGCATTGTATATAGTGTTTAAAATTTAAATTTAATTTTTTGTTTTCAAAAAGCATTTTTTGAATTTTTAATATTCTTAGTATTAGAGAATTAAATTTTTTTTTGATTTTTAAACAAGTTTATTAAACATTTTCAAATAGAAAATGTTTTCTAATAATTCATGTTTATAAAAATTATTAAGTATTCTTTAAGAACACTAAAGGTCAAATTTTAAATACTGATCATATAAATATATATATATCAAATTAATATGGATAAATGAAGGCTATATTAAAGCTATTGATTTTTAATTTCTTTTTTTTGTCAGATTTTATTTTTGCAAGGATTTCTAATTGAAATATTTTATTAAATTTTATCTTTGTTTAAAAAGCTATTTTTTTAAATTAATCATTTATACAAAACATACTGGTGGATAATAAAACAGTTCTTTTTTTTTTGAATAAAAACTTTAATTTTTTTTTTTACAACTTAATTAAATTATAATCAAATTTTATTTTGGCAAACAAAATCATATCTTTTTCTTATTTTAGAAAATGCTCTTTTTTTTATTTTTAATTTTTTTTTTGCTTGTATTAATGATACAATTCTGACAAGAACAATATTAATATCAATATTAGAAGAATCTTCTATAGAACTAGCAACAAAAAAAAACAAAAAAATAATAAAGAAAAAATACAAAAAGAAAAGGTCTTACTAGTATCCAAAAAAATGAAATATGTCATCTAAAACAGAAGAAAGTTAGTTAAGTTAAACTGGCAGAAAAATTTAGTGTTGCTGAAGCAACTATTTCAGAGATTATTTGTAAAAAAGAAAGGTGGCTATTACTCAATTCAAATTCAAATAATGCTTTTTTAAAGCAACAAAGAACCAAAAAATTTCTTTTCTTGGAAGAGGCACTTGTTCTTTAGATGTCTCAGATGAATACAGTATTACAAACAATTACAGGTGCAATTATTCAACATAAAGTAATACAACTTGCAGAAAAGCTTAAAGTAACAAGTTTTAATGTGTTTGATAGGTGGCTCTCAAAGTTTAAAAAATGATATTATATAAAAGAATACAAATATTTAGGTGAGGCTACAAATGCACCTCTTGAGAAACTTCTCTGATTTCATACTAAATTACAAAAAGTAATTAAAAAGTACTATCCTGAAGATGTTTATAATGCTAATGAGATAGCATTATACTGGCATATGGAATCTGATAAAACATTAGCTAATGGTCCAATTTCAGAACAAAAAAAGCTAAAGATCATGTTACAGTCTTACTTATATGTAATACAACTGATAGTCATAAGCCCCTCTATTTATACACAAATTTAAAACTTCTCGAGCTCTCAGAAATATTGATAAATCTACTTTACCTGTATATTATTATTAGAATAGCTCTGCATGGATGCAAACATCTATTTTTAATCATTATATTAAGTGTTTTGATGATCAAATATGATTGGCTAGTAGGTTAATTCTTCTTATTTTAGATGATACATCAACTCATAGACTTGAAAAAAGTCTAACTCTAACAAATATAAAGCTTTATGTTCTTTTTTCACATATGATAGTACATCTACAACCATGTAATGCTAAGATAATTTGAAGTTTTAAGGTAAGTTATTATTATAAAAATTAGAGGTAGAATATGTGAATAGAATATTTAATATTGATATTTTAGTTGGGGTTAAATGCAAAACATTTATTTATTATTAAAACTAGCAGAGATAGGGTACACTGATAGAATATTTAATATTGAATATTGTTACTGAAATAGAATAAGTATTAAAAAGAATGGAATCAAGCATTTATTTATTTTCAAAAATCAGCAAAATAAAGCATATTATTAAAAATGTAACATTATATATTATTATAAAAAAGAAATCAGAGTTGTAAGGATGAACATAAACTATTTATTTAGATCAAAAATTTGAAAAAATATGTAACATTGATGGAATATTTAATATTGGAAATGATCAAATTAATACTATTTTTTTGACAGGCAAATTATAAAAAATTTTTTTGTGAAAATTGTATAGATGCATTTGATGATTTTTTAGAATTTGGCAGTGATTCTCCTGAACCAATAACTATCAAAGATGTAATCAGCTTCACTGCTGCTGCTTGAAAAAAAATGACACCCAGAACTATTCATAACTGTTAGAGAAAGACTGGAATTTTGTCAAGGAATTTTCTTAATGAATTGTTTCCATTTAAGGAGCCCAACCAAACTAATAAATCTGATATTACTAATAAGATTCAGAATTTGATCTTTCATTTGCCTCTCAACCAACCTATAGATGCTGAAGAGTATATAAGTGCTGATAACAGTCTTATTACTACTGAAATACTAGATAATGAAGAGATAATTGATGCTGTAAAGAACTGTGAATATATTGAACTGAAGGATGAAGTTATTAATAAACCAATATCCTTTATAGAAGCCTTAAGATTTATAGATAGGATCTTATCATTTCTTGAGCAGCAATTAGATGGCAGTTTCAATGTTGATGATTCTTTTATTCATAATTTAGAGAAGTTAATAAAAGAAGTAAAATTGAAATACATTATCTCACAACAACTATTAATCTTAGATTCATTTATTTTGGGCATGAATTAACTTTTTTTTTTGAAAAATTTAAATTTTTTTTTTTGAATGATACTTAGAATGTCATGAATAGAATTAAAAAAATGATAAATAATTGAATGAAGTATTTCACTGTATTGCTTAGGATAGTAACTTTGAAGAGCTATAATTTGCAAGATATAATTTGGTTTTTTTTTGTAGGCAGTCAATTTTTTTTTTTAATATTAGTTGAATGCAACTAATCTATTTTCTACTTTATAAAAGCTGGATATGTCTAAATCTAAACAACTTTTCAAATAAAATATAGTTTAAATTTTGGATATTTGTTTAAAATAATTCTGAGTTCAGTATGAAATAAAATAGATTTTATTTTAGATATCACGATTGTCAAATCTCTATTTATTTACTAGCATAATAATAAAAAATTAAATATGTTTTATTTATATAGAGAGAAATGTCTCTACAATATACTGTGATTTATGTAATTCTAAGAAATATAAATTGGCAGCACAAAAAAAAATATGAATATAAATTATTATAAATTATACTTCAAATATATTTATCTTAGGATTCTTGTAAAGAAAGTATTTAATTAATATAAAAAAAATAATTCTATTAAATTAAATATTTATTTATACTTGGGTCTCTTATAACTACTACAACAAATAATCTTCAAGGTATAAATCAAGGGTGATGGCTTGTATAGTAATTTATGATATACTACTATTATCTTTCATGATATAGTGAAGATTTATATATTTATATATTATCTTTATTAGATCAAGAAACTTTTGATATAGTAAATCTTTAGATATAGTAAAGAAAAATTTATAGCCCAACAGCTTTACTATAACAAGAGTAATTTGTAATCAGTTGAATGTAATATGTGTATGTTTTCTGAAAAGTTTGCAGAAATTGAATTACCAGTTAATAAATTTGGGCTGCACCTTAATAGCCAAGAAGTTGTTATTGATGAGGAGTTGGCAAAGCATAACTTTGAATTTGCTAGCAAATATTTATGTAAAATTTAAAAATGTGATAAAATTCATAAAAAGCAGATATATGTTAATTATATTACCTATGATAAAGATTCATTTTAAAACAATGAAAAGAAATTCCTTCATAGTTATGGATAGAATGCTATACACAGATCTGCTGATATTCTCTTGATATACAAAAATATTCTGATTACAATTGCTGTGACAAGATCTATGCAAAGGAAGCATTTGATCTGTTAAGAGAAAATAATAGATTTCTTCTATTGTTAGTTAAAGAAAAAAGTAATCTTTATTTGAACTTGATTCATATTTTGCAATATATAAATAAAATGAGGTTGCTCAAATATAATGAAAAATGTCTTTCAATATTGTTGCAGATATATCAGAGACTTTGCAATATGTGTAACAAATATTTTTCTACTATAAAGATGATCTTTAACTATAAAAAGATGATCTATTTTATAAAACTATACAAGCAAAATATAAACCAGGTTTTTGTATATGATTTTAATTCTTCTACCAAAATCTACAAATGATATATCATCTATAAACTTAATTTTTCTTTAAGATCTCCTGAACCAAACTTGTCTACAGAAGAAGTTATTATATCATTAGATTATCTGGATACCTAATAAATTGAATTAAGTAATACAACATTTTTAAAAGATTTCTTCAACTTGCCATCTATTAATCTTTCTTGCACATCGCAACTTCTCATTTACTGAAAGCACTTTCTGACATTAAATAAAATTTATTTCATTCTGTTTAATAGCTTCTCTTTCTAGTAATTAGTACATATTAGTTAGAAAATATAAAAAAAATAAAATTTATTAGTATTTGTGCCTTATAAAAATTATTAAATTATTCAATTGAATTTCAATAAAGTTAGAAGCATGGTCTCACCTTTTAAAATTAAAAAAAAGATCAAATTTAGAAATAAGATAGTACTTTTTAATAACAATTATAAATGATCTCAAAATGTTATCATATTCTTGAATTACTAAACTATTTTAAAGGTAATTTGCGATTAATTTGACTAAATGAGAATGTTATAATCAAATAAAATTTGACTTGCCCAAATTCTTCAAAATGTACAATTTTGATAATATAAATTTTCTTGAAATAAATATTACTATTATAGTATTATTATTATACTAGATCAAATAGGAGAAACCATTGATGTTATACAACTAATCTTTTACTCAGTATGTAATATAAAAAATTATTTTACAATATCAGATTATGTATTAGTAGTATTGTAAAATAACTTTTTATATATATTGTACACAGAGTGATGAATCAGTCATATAATATTGACAGTTTCTTCTGTTACTAGATCACTATGCAATATTATATGATTACAAGAGCCAATCAAAATTTGAAATCTATATAGATGTAATAAACTGCTAACACTCCTTCCCTTAATAAATTACGTAATAAATATCACAGATTAAAATGAAATCTAATCAAAATAAAACTGAGGACTTCTTATACCTACCCTTAGAGCTTATAAAACTCATATATACTTATTTATTAATAATTCTAACCCTAAATCATACTTTTAATACTAAAAAGAACACCAAAAAATGTTACCTAAAAAATTTTAAATTTTTTTAAAAAACAGAAAAATTTTATTTTGATCAGATTTTGTTTTAATCTATAATAATAAACAGCATACTTCTAATGATCCTAATAATACTAATAATATCTCTATGCTATCAAATACCACAGTGGACCTTCTATCTGAACCTATCAATACAGATACCTTCTTGGATACCATCTTAACCAAAGAACTAGAAAGTGACTCAACACTTAACTCTACTTTTTTCAAACCTAAAACCAAACCAGACACTGAAGTCTACCAAAAAGTTTGATATAAACTAATCCAAATATTAACTCCTTAATCAAATACTTACCCGAATCCTTTTATCAATGGAACTTGGAAAGATGAATTAACCAAGATACTGTGACAATTAGAAGATAAAGAATGTACTTGATCTAAGCAGATAAAAATTATTGAAGCTTATCTGCACTTAGGAATTCTTATCCAGAAACAAACCAACAAACGACAACAAATTCATAGGCTTCTCCAGGCTTATTAAGACTCACAAAACCTAAGACATTTAAAAAAAAGCCACTCATCTTCAACAAATCTTTAGTATTTGAGCTAAAGAATTGTATCAAACTCAATTAGTGTTTTTATAAATCCGAACCAAACCAAACTTTAATAAAGTTTGTGTTTGTTTTTGAAACTTTTAGTTAAGGTTTGTGTTTGCTTTCAAACTTTTAGTTAATATTTGGGTTTGGTTTGGTTTGAGTTTGAAGTTTGCAAACTAGTTTGAGTTTGAATATACTGTATGTTTCTGAAAATAAGCTACTACTAAAAATAAGCTACCTTTTTTTTTTGAAAAAAAAAATATAAAATGTTTTATACTCAAAAATAAACTATTTAATAATTATCAATAGTTACTCTATAGTAAAGTCAAAATTTACTAAGTAAATTGATATTGTTTAGGATGTTCTATAGAATAGGTAGGTAAACTCCGCAAACTCTGCAATTCCACTATTAAAACATTAATGATTACTAATTATTAGCAAAGCTTATTTCTTATATTGCTCACCTATTCTATAGAACATCCATTGTTTATTAAATAAAAGTTGTTCAGAAAATCAAAATATATTTATTTGAAAGTTTATCCAAATTGGATAACTTTTAATTAATACATTTTTACATATTACTTTTGATAAATTTTTTAAAATTTCTTTAAATTTTATATTTATAGAATGTAAAAATTAAAAATTAATTAATAAAAAATTATCCAATTTATATGAAACTTTTAGAATATATGTAATTTTATCTCCTGAATAACTTTTACTTAATATATATAATCAATTTACTTAATAAATTTTTTTGCAATTGGCAAATAACATTTATTTAAATTTAAATTCAAACTAGTTTGCAAACTTCAAACCAAACTCAAACCAAACTTATAATGAAGTTTGAATTTGGTTTGAGTTTAAAAATTAATAAAATTTATAGTTTAAGTTTGATAAAAATACCAAACCAAACCCGAACTCAAACTATTCAAATCAAACTTAGTTATTCTAAACTTGATACTTCACTATCATCTACATTTTTAAGTTTACTAATAGAGAGTATCAGTTTTTAATTAAGAATTTGTAGAGCAAATTGTTATAAGGGAACGAAAATATTATAGAACAGTTTTATTTTATTAGTTTATTATTTTATCTTAGTATTATTTTATTATTTTGATATTTATATTTT